CTTACCGCTTCATCTGCAGTCTTTAGATGCAAGAGGCTCCTTCCCTGCTCTTCTTCTGAGAAAGGTACAAAAGATGTTAAGTGGCAGTAGGGAGAGCAGAGCCAGGAGCTTCCAACCTATGCAAAGCATCTCAGCATGAGACCCAGGTCTCAACTATCTCCTGAGCCCAATGCCACTGACCAAGGGGAGGAATGGGGCTGCGGGGCTGACCTGCAGGTGAGGCCAGTGTCCTGTGCTGAGTGCTCTCTTGAAGCTGTTGCAGGAGACACAGACCTTGCAGAATCAGGCCCTGTGTTTCACAGCTGGGGTGCTGCATCTGCTGGTCTTCCCCTGAAATACCAGCGAACTGCAGGAGGTGATGCTCTGGCACAGGGAATGACCAGTATCACCCCAGAGGTTGTGTGCTCTGAGGGGAAGACTCCTTCACTTTGCACTGAGCTGCTGGATACTTGGTGAGCCTAAGGGGCATATTATGAAATATCCCACAGTTATTACAGAATCTGGAAGTGGCAGGGATGTGCTTTAGGATGCACTGGGTTTTGCTTTCAGTTTTTTTTGTGAGGACTGCAGTTACCTGGACCTGCCTCTTACTTGTTTTTCACAAGTGGGTGTAAGATGGGAGTAATACCTGCCTGGCTCTGCACAGCATAAACCAGCAAAGGGGCTCTTCATGTGGGCTTCTCTATTTTGTGGAGGTGAATTTAAGGTTGACTGAAGCTGACCTTGAGTAGAGCAGGTAACTGACATCTAGAGTTACGGCCACACCTGAGCTGTCTCCAAAGCTTGCCTCAAAACCAGTAGCCCATGGACAGAACCGGATGCCAAGGCTGCGCCTGCACTTCGGCACTGGCAGCTGATGGTGGATGTGAGCCGCAGGGAGCAAGAGGGGCACTGGGATGGTCCCAGTCCTGGGAATCGGGTGCCCTGATGCAGGAGAGCTGGATGCAGAAAGGCTGAGTGCAAGCCCATGGCCATGCTGTACAGTCAGACAGCTTCCTGAAGCCAGCAAGTTCTGTCTGGTCTGGCTGCCTTTGGAGTCAGTTCTAGTTTACATTGACTAGGGAAATACTTAAGCCAATCATCTCCTTTTAATGTTAACTTGGTGGAAAACCTAGGAAGATTCTAGCAGTCTAATGGTGAAAAAGTGACATGCTGTCATTCCCAGTTTGTCTATGGCTGAACTTTTGCAATGCGGAGCCAAATGAGGTGGCATAAGACAAAAGTGTGCCTTTTTGTTTGATGTACACTGCATTTCTCCAGGCATCCCAGGTGTTGATCTGAACAGCAGTGCTTTCTTCCCAAAACAGAAGTTACCATGCAGTCTGAGTTTCAGGATACGAAGTGGCCATCACTGTTAATTCCACCCGACAGTTTTTATAGTTACTCTTGAATTGCTTCTGTTTTCAAAACTCAACAAAACCCAATTTAGAATTCTTTGATGAAATTAAAATCAAGATTTTGGTATCTTTGGGCATGATCTCTGGAAGCTTTGGGTATCTGCTTTATCATTTTGTATATTTGACAATTTTGTACTCTGCATTGTTTGACTTCATTTGTGCATGGCGATGTATTAAAACATGGAATTTTTATTATACAGCACAAGCATTTTGTTTGATTTAAACAAGGTTGGGGTTGGACCCAGAGTACCTGAGGTGTGTACAGCAGTGGGCTGCTGTATGGGGTACACCTGCAGGCATAGATGTAACACAAGGTGTTCATGGAGAAAAGAGCTCTGTTCTGCTGGCAGCATTTGGGTGTAATTCCAGACTGACCCCAGTGACTTTCTTGACTTACCCTGGATTTAGTGCACACTGCAAGGAAGAATTCCGCTTCATTGCCAAGTGAAGTGCAAAGTCGTGAACCTGGGTTGGAACAATCCCAGGCACAGCTACAGGTTGGGCAGAGAAGAGATTCAGAGCAGCCCTGCAGAGAAGGACTTGGGGGTGTTGGTTGATGAGAAACTTAACATGAGCTGGCTTCAGTGTGCGCTTGCAGCCCAGAAAGCCAACTGTATCCTGGGCTGCATCAAAAGGAGCATGACCAGCAGGTCAAAGGAGGTGATCCTGCCCCTTTGCTCTCGTGAGACCTCACTTGGAGTACTGTGTGCAGTTCTGGTGTCCTCAACATAAAAAGGACATGGAACTGTTGGAACAAGTCCAGAGGAGGGCCATGGCAGGAGATTGGAACTGGATGATCTTAAAGTCCTTTCCAGCCCAAACCATTCCGTGATTCTATGATTTCTTAAGGCTTGGGGGATGCCCTTGTAGGCAGTGAAGCACCCTCAAATCAGACCAAACCACAAAAGGAGCAAGTATTCGACTGTCCGTGGTGCATGGCATTTCACTGCCATCCCATCCCCATTTATTCTCAGCATTTATGGCATGACAAAAAGTCAGTGGGTAAGGTAGTTCTCAGAAAAACGAATGTTGAAATTCCATCATTATATTGTGTTCTCCCATATAGGTGATTTTTCCTTTTCAGACATAATTCTGAATGTTCTCATGTTTGTAAGGCAGAGACTGATGAGATGTTTTGGTCAAACACAAAATACTGGGCATAATACAAAATAACAGAATAAAATTATATAGTGTGCAGTATAACTGACAAAGTCAAGAGAAATTGTCATCTGAACAAAAAATATCATGGTTTTTACTGTAACATCTCAGGCTGGGGCTGCAATTTACTAAATTCTGTTTATATCTTTTAAAAGCTTTCTACTCCATAAACTTTTGTCACTGGGAAGAATATGTTAGCACAGGGAAAGCTCTGGGTTTGTACAGATCTGTGCACATTACATCTTGGACTGAAGGAAATTAGAACAACCATATAAGTAAATAGAATGGTTTCTATGTCACATACCCTTTTCATTGTTGGGTCTCCATACAGTGGCACCATATTATTACTGCTCTGGGTGCTACACATTAAGATAATTCCCATTGTAAACAATACACCACCTAAATCAGATCTGCTTTATAATGAAACTGCAGCTACCATGATAATGAAATACTCCTCCATAGAGACAGAATTTAGCTACTGATGCTGTGGAACAAGGAGTTTCCTTGTGTGCTCAGATGGGTTTTGAGTCACAAATCTCACCAATGGGCCTGCAGTTTCTTATAGAATCACAGAAACATAGAATGGTTTGGGTTGGAAAGAACCTTAAGATCATCTAGTTCCAACCCCCCTGCCATGGGCAGGGACACCTCACACTAAACCATGTCACCCAAGACTCTGTCCAGCCTGGCCTTGAACACTGCCAGGGATGGAGAATTCACAGCTTCCTTGGGCAACCCATTCCAGTGCCTCACCACCCTAACAATAAAGAACTTCCTCCTGTTCTATCACTATAGTCCCTAATGAAGAGTCCCTCCCCAGCATCCCTATAGGCCCCCTTCAGATACTGGAAGGCTGCTATGAGGTCTCCACGCAGCCTTCTCTTCTCCAGGCTGAACAGCCCCAACTTTCTCAGCTTGTCTTCATACAGGAGGTGCTCCAGTCCCCTGACCATCCTCGTGGCCCTTCTCTGGACTTGTTCCAACAGTTCCATGTCCTTTTTATGTTGAGGACACCAGAACTGCACACACTACTCCAGGTGAGGTCTCACAAGAGCAGAGTAGAGGGGCAGGATCACCTCCTTCAACCTGCTGGTCACGCTCCTTTCGATGCAGCCTAGGATACGGTTGGCTTTCTGGGCTGCAAGCGCACACTGAAGCTGGCTCATGTTAAGTTTCTCATCAACCAACACCCCCAAGTCCTTCTCTGCGGGGCTGCTCTTGAATCTCTTCTCTGCCCAACCTGTAGCTGTGCCTGGGATTGCTCCAACCCAGGTGTAGGACCTTGCACTTGGCATGGTTAAACTTCATGAGGTTGGCATCAGCCCACCTCACAAGTGTGTCGAGGTCCCTCTGGATGGCATTCCTTCCCTCCAGCGTATCAACTGAACCACACAGCTTGGTGTCATCAGCAAACTTGCTGAGGGAGCACTCAATCCCACTGTCCATGTCAGTGACAAAGATGTTAAACAAGACTGGTCCCAACACCGATCCCTGAGGGACACCACTCGTTACTGGTCTCCAGCCGGACATTGAGCCATTGACCACAACTCTCTGTGTGCAGCCATCCAGCCAGTTCTTTATCCACCGAGTGGTCCATCCATCAAATTGATGTCTCTCCAATTTAGAGACAAGGATGTCGTGTGGGACAGTGTCGAACGCTTTACACAAGTCCAGGTAGATGACATCAACTGCTCTACCCCTGTCCATCAGTCCTGTAGCCCCATCATAGAAGGCCACCAAATTGGTCAGGCAGGATTTCCCCTTAGTGAAGCCCTGCTGGCTGTCACCAAGCACCTTGTTGTTTTTCATGTGCCTTAGCATGCCTTCCAGGAGAATCTGCTCCAAGATTTTGCCAGGCACAGAGGTGAGACTGACTGGTCTTCACTCACAGTTTGTTACTCAGAAGTCATCAGTGGAGCAACCACTTGTGCCATCTGGGATTTGTTTGTTTTTCTCCCAGTGGCAATTAGTCCTTGATGCAACTTGCATGATCTTACATTATATTCAGGTACACCCTGTGGATCCCTCAGAGTTTACCTTTCCATGAGCATCTACTGGGGGTCACAGACCCAGATCAGGCAGCTTGGCCCCTTGGGCTCCAATACCATAGGTTCCTGAACTGAGAGACCTTACCAGCTGAGCAGATCTGTGCTCACCTGAGCAGAGCCTTGTGATATGAGCAGATGTCCTTAGTCCATAATGAAGTCCAATAAATGAAGCACAACCCTAGAAACAGATGTGATGTTCCAAATCCCATGACTGAGCTGCTGTATATGACAGAACTTGTTGTCTCTTGATGTCCCACCTCATCTGTAAAGGATACAGGAAAAGAGGAACTGCATTTACCCATCACTGTTAAACCTTGTAACTCAATGGCAAAACTGTAAGTCTTCTAAGAAGGTCACAGTGCAAATGGGGTTGATTTGAACAGACCAGGCACCTTGGTACAAAAGAAACACTTTATTTGGAGGACAAGAAGTCACCGTCCACAGTTTGTGCTTACCTGACATTCTGCTCTCACTGCACCCAGTCAGAGTCTCAGTGCACAGTGTGACACGTTCACAGGTGAGGTGTATCAGCCCATACTCGGTTTGCCTGAGGTTTATTCCTCTTCTGTGCAGTCCTTTGTCTCATTTGTGTCACTGCCTTGTCATTGCCTTCTCCTCGCTTTTCTGCACCTGATGTGATTTCTTGCCTTCTACTGTTGTTAGCATCACATGGGAAATACACTGAGTTACTGCATGTGAGAAACACACTTCCAAGTGAAACAGTTCTGCTTCAACTAAATGGCACCAAGGCACTGGTTTAGGAGGAGCTGGAGCAGAGGACAAATTGCTACACGTTTGTTCTAGGGCAACATGAGTCTTAATCTCTTCTTATTGTCTGTGTTGGAGTGAGGGGCTCAAATGGCAGAAAGGACCCACATGGGACACTAGGAAGTGCTTTCTGGGAACAGGGATGCTGCTGAAGTAGTGACTGCTTAAAGAGATGGAGAACAGCTTTGAAAAGCTTCCATCAGCAATCCTGACCCTTTGGCAGGGAAGGAGGATGGAACGAGCTGTCTACCAAAATCTCCTTTAGGCCAATTTTTCTGCAGGTAAGATGAATGGGGAGCAGAGTTAACTCTGTTAATTATCATTACTTTACATTTCAGCTGGAACTGAATTTAGCTCTTCTTTTTCTGCCTCTTCAATGTAAGAACCTACAACCATGTAGCTATGAGTAATTCCAGACTCATTTAGGTCAATACATCAGGTTGTCAGAGCTCAGAAACTGGGACACAACCACTACCACGGCTGGGCCAGATGCAGAGGCAGAGCCCAGGGTGACAGCAGGGACCAGATCCACCTTCTCCCCCCAAATCACCATACTCATCAAGAGTCCGATTTTTGAGATATAGTGCGACAAATAGCAGCAATTAGCGAGACCAAGAACACCAAAAGGGTGGCACCCTTTAGGGTCAGGGTGAGGATCCCTCTTCACCTGCAACATCCAGGCTTTCACCGGGTCTTTACCAGGCACCATCAGGGTATATGGGCTTGTGGAGAAAAGCCTTGGAATGAGTTGGTTAGAATTAAAAAAGGAAAAGTAAACATGTTGAGCTCACTTACAAGATGAAGAGAGGCAACACTTCATAGACAGCTGGCCAAAGCCAGGGGAGCTGCAGCCATCCATTGCAAGGGGCAGGCTAACAGGGTGCATCATTGGTGGTCATTGCCAGCCTCCTCCAGAAGCTGTAGGGTGATCAGGAAAAGTGCTTCTCCTTCCCTGGGGGTTGTACTGCAAAGAAACTATGCTCTTCAGGGCACATCTTGAGTCTCAGCTTGAGCTGGCACTTTCCAGATTGAGACGGGAGAGCATGGTTGGTGCTGAGTGCTGAATGTTCAGCCCAAGGGGCGCTTCGGCTCTGCTTAGTGCTGCGAAATGGGACGGAGATGCAGCCCACATGGGAGGCAGATTTTTATGGGAAATATTGGGAATGGTTGCGCTGAGCTGATTAACCCATTTTAACATTTTCATTTAGCTGCTCAAGTTGCCCCACATGAGAAGTGCAGCTGCGAGCGAAAACACTCCCACATGCGGGAAAGCCAGATAAGCCCCCGCCTGCCGCCATTACAGCAAGGAATCGGAGTCCTCTGGGGAAATGAAGGGCTATTTCTGCCTTTGTTTAAGCTTTAATTCGGAGCATGAAGGATGCCGTTATGATAGCTCATTTTGTACGTGTCCCTGTGTCCCACACTGGGCCTAGCTTTGGCAATTCTTGGTCAGAATTTGAGGAATTACGGGAGCCTGGCTTCCCACTGCGTAATTCCACCTGGAGACAACAGTTGCTCCTTTTACCCCAGGGAAGAAGCTCTTCTTCCCCCCCTCCACTTCCTCGGTTTGTACAATATTAAGCAGGGGATACTGGGCTTTCTTCATGCTTCCCCTCTTTGTCTGTGTTATTAGTCCCACAACAGGCTGCCTCGTAATCCCAAAATACAGCTCTTTTGGACACTGTTCCACTAATCCCATGAGGGACTTGGCAACCAACAGGAAAACAGAGATTGTCTGGAATATTATCCGAACGTGCTGGACCAAGGACCACCCTCAGCCTTCAGCATTTCTCTTGGGTCACCAGTCACAGCCCTTTAAACTTAAATTAAAACCACTCCAAAAGCAGGGTGGTTTCGAGCGCTAGCAGCGGGGCATTTATATGGGATTTTCAGACCAATGCTTCTCCACAGGCCACTTTAGGACCCCTGAGTGCAGGATATTGTCTCAAAATATTCCCTAAAAGCCACCAAGAGGCACTGGTATCCAAGCACAGGAATAACAGCTCTGCTATCTCTGAAAGGGTTAGCTGTAAACCAGTCTTACCCTCTCCAGTTGTTTCGGAGCTCACAGCTGGTAATTCCGCTCCAATCTCCTATGCTTCCCATCACAGGCCGGAAGAAGCAGAAATGGGATTTGGTGTGGCTGCACGTTCACTTGCTCCCAGGGAAGGCACGGAGCTGCCTGGGATACAACTTAGTGAAGCAGAAAATGTGGGCATGCATCTCCATGGAAATAGGTACTTGGGAAGCATCTGAGCGGTTCTGGGGGTTGCGTTCTGCCATGCGCTGCGTTTTGAATGGTAGCACTGTGAAAAATCAATGTGGCACGTTTTAAATGGATTACGAGGCAGATAAATGGCAGGTCTCTGAAGAGGAGCTGCAAAGGAAGAGTGATCCCATGGGAGTTTTTATAGAAGGAATATTTAGGAAGCTGTTCTTGGCTGTTTACTTCAGAGGTCAGGATGGATAAACAATTGAATATGAGGTCCCCATGTGATGCTCTTGCTAAAGGGGCTGCTATGACTGTAGGATGTATAAACGGGACTATTGAGTGGCAAGGGAAACATATTCGCTCTCTACCTGACATTAATGAGATGAAAATAGTCCAGTTCAGCTGTCAACACGTGAAAACTGTGTTGGAAAACTGAAAAAGACTGGGAGAAGAGCTATAAGACTGATTGAAATCATATTTTACAATGACCCAAAGGAGCACAATCCAGTTATATTATCAAAGAGGAATATAAGAGATTAATTGATCAAGGTCTGTAGTATCTGTACCTGCAGGAAGAATGCAGTATCAGAGGATTACTGAATCTAGCAAAGGCATACAAACCAGGAAGACTGGAGCTGGAAAAAAGAACCAGTTGAAAAGGAGGCACATTTTTCTCCTTAATGGCCTTGTAATTAACCACTGGAGGAGCTGACATGGGATACAGGAGGTTCTCCATCACCCAAAAAGGTATTTAAATTGAGTGGGGATGTCTTTCTCTACAATGTAACTCATGTATCTGAGTCGGAATTGCTGGGCAAAGCTTCATGGTCTGCATTATGCAGGAGGGCAGAGGAAACCACCATGGAGGTGCCTTCTGGCTGTGAAATCTATGGAACTATCAAAGCAATGACATCTGCATATCACATCCCAGCAGTGTCTAGCCTGTTTATGCAACGCATGTGATGGAAAGACTCTTTTAGGGATATTTAGAGGGCTTTAAATGTTTTATTAGAGGTTTACTATATAGACTCTGCCTGTAAAACCTGGTAGATGAAATAAACCTTAAAAATAAAAAGTAAAAATCTACTGAAATAGATTTTCTATACCCCAAAATCCCAGTATTAAAGACCAATATCTCAGGATACTCTGGGCTTTCAATGTGATGCTCCAAGGACTCAGCCCTTCATCATGGTTTAAAGCTCCTATTTCACAGATTTATAGGTGCTAAACTCAGAAGGGTCCACTGTGATTATCTAATCTGACCTTGCACATAAAGGAGGCCACAGAGCATCCCTCAATTACTTCCAGGCTACTCTGAAGCCCTTCATACCATCCTCTTCCCTCATACCACAGGCGGGGTAGAACCCTTTCTCCTCCATCCACACAGATAAACTTCACATCGTTTCACGTCTCACTGCAACATCCTTCCTTCCACCCCTGACAAATGAAATCTTTCCTGGCACATGTCCATTCAAATTGCTGCTGCAAAGATCATTTGCCATTCCTATGTCTCTTTGCCTGCTTCTCTGGCTCTCCCTTCTGCCTTTCCATCAATACATGTCCTGCCCCCTCGCAGCCTGGTCCCTACCTCTGCCTCTTCATCACACTTGGTACCAGCTCACTCCTGCCTCTCATGGCCCACTTTGCTCACTTGTTTCTTTTAATCCCCTTCTTTTTCTCTGAGCAAACCCCATGTGGTGCAGCACCAGTCCATGGGGAGGGCCCTAAGAAACATCTGTGCTGCTAAATGAAAAGATGGGAGCACCTGCACCCATCAGGCTAGGTTCAGTCACACACGTCACACAGCCTCCTTTGGGCACATCTGCTGGGGTCCTCCATGGGCTGCAGGTGGGTGTCTGCTCCCCACGGACCTCCATGGGCTGCAGGGGCACAGCCTGGCTCACCGTGGTCTGCACCATGGGCTGCAAGGGAATCTCTGCTCCTTGCCACACAAACCCAATACACTGACAGACGTGGATTCTGGCATCCCTGTGAATCATTAAATGCCTATCGTTCCAAGACATACAGCAGCATGGTACGGTTTTCATCTAGACAAAGCCTCTATTTTAAGACTCTTCTTCTCTCTCAAAGAACCCAACTTGATAAGCTTGAGTGCAGGAGACTGGTACCACAGGGTTCTCTTTGTAAATCAGGGTAAACTGAGGCAAAGAACAGGAGGTCCCACAATGGGGAAGTGAGCAGCACAGAAGGAAAAGTCAGACCATGGAAAAGCCCATGCCAGACTTTGCTTTCTAGAGAAGAGCTCCTTGCTTTCTGAGTGTGAGCAGTGATCTGTCTGGGGTAACAGGGAAGTGAGGAGAGAGGATGCAGAGAAGCAGGGAAGTGAGGAGAGAGGATGCAGAGAAGCAGGGAAGTGAGGAGAGAGGATGCAGAGAAGCAGGAAGTGAGGAGAGAGGATGCAGACACAATCTATGGCTTCTGCTCTATGAAAAATGACAAATACCCTCTTTTGCAAAGCTTAGTTCTCAGAAGCTTTTAATCTAACGCTGCTGTACACAGCTGCACAGCAGGTCCCCATCTGGATTCACACAGTTACCGTCCTTTGTGTCACAAGCAGAGCTCATTCCTTCTGGAGCCAATCTACATAAAACTGCCAAAAGCTGACACCGGTCTCCCCTCAGCATTGCCTATTGACAAGCAGGCACCTCTGGCCAAACTGAGAGGAAACATCTGTCAGTAGGTGTTAATGAGACCAGAGCATGCGGCAGGCAAGACCCAACCAGCTCAGCGAGATCAGACACAATTCGTGTTCTCATCGGGTGATCACAGCCACCTACGGCTGCGCTCAGCCATCAGGGATCACACGCACGCATCCTTCCTCATGTGTTTTATGAATTTTGGAGTTAGCAGGATTCAGATCTGCCCTTCCGAGCTTGTCTGTCAAAGCACAGTTTTGGCCAGTGCCTTGCAGGGATTTGCGCAGCAAAACAAATGGGTACTAAAGAACGTGGTGAGTGTCCTACTGTCTGAGCCAGCGCTGTTGAAGCACGGGGTGGGAAGAGTTTTTTTCAGCAGAGAGATAAAATAAAATGCCCCATTGGTTGCAACTAGTCCTGGTGCCATGTTGTTTTTGCAGGCAGTCATGGGCAGCTTCAATCTTCATACCCACCGACCGTCCTGAATGACATGCTGCCTCTGAAAGAGGTGTGTGGCATGATTTCAGATTGTCAGGGGACAGGATCGTCCCTTTGAACAGTGGTGAATCAGAAAGAAGGGAAGGAAAAGGGGAGAGAGGAGAGGCAGCAATTCACCGAGAAAAAAGTCATTTAATTAACTGATTATTTACTTCTATCTCACTTGTACAAATCAGAGCTAAGTATATCCATCCAAGCCAATGTATATGATTCACAGTTTGTCAAATAGACAGTCTGCAAGTGAGAAGTTGCAGAAATAAAAGTCATGAATCATCAGTTGTTCTTTTATGCTCGTGGACAGCATCTTTTATTACATGTAAATTCAATTTATAACCATTGCAAACTGAAAAAAATAGCTAAAGTCAAGTTTGCAGGGATAGAAAAATGACAAGGCTTTGAGAGCAAGAAATTGTGAGCCTAAGGATGGATTCTGGCCTGTTGTTTTAGTTGGATCCACCTGATCAGCTGCAAACATCTGCAATATCTGTTTATGGGCTCTACCTGGGGATTCTCCATCCCAGCCTCAAATAGACAGCTCAGTAAGAAAGCACACCTTAAAAACTGCCATTTCCCTCTGGTGACCATCAGAGGAAGCTCAGGTAAAGACTGTGGTTTACTAAAGTTAGGTGAGATGAAACCTATTTGCTAATGCTCCTTGAAGCCAAATTCATAGACAAGTCCCTAATATAGCTTTGAGAATTTCAGATGAGACACCTGGTTTGATGCATGAGCCTTTCTTTGCAGAGTGCTAACCTCCTGCAGTGCTGTCTGCAATGGTAAAAGCTGCAAACATCTCTCCACACAAAGTCAAGTTGCACAATCTGAGCTGAACAGCCCAAAAGAAATTGATCTTTTTTAATGTGAGGTCTTTCCTGCACCCATTTCACACCATAGGCACTCTCTACCCTGTTAGTTTCACTATAGACATAAACCAGCCCCATCCTCCTCTTGAGACTCATCCCATGCTTTTGCCATGGCTTGTTGGGAGCACCCACGTGGTTTAGTCTGCAGAGGTTATAAGCACATTTCTTGGCGCTTCTTTGACATGTCAAGAACTGTCAAGGGTTCGCACAGTGGGAAGAAAAGCCCCATCCCCAAAACATCTCAGGTGGGGTGTCCCCACCAGGCAGCTGCTGTCCTGCGTCACTTCTAAAGGTGCAACAAACAGGACTGTGTACCTTTTGCCTCTGGAGCACATCTACAGGGTCAACAAAGAAGTGGATATAAAGTTAGCTGTTTAACTGACTGGACTGTTCAGAAATACAACAAACAAATGTAAATACCACTAGGCATCTGGAAACCAGTGTTTTCTGTCTGAGACTTAAAAACGAACGCAGAGCAACACCCAAGCACTGAAAGTTAGCAGACGAGTGACAAAAATAAACCAGTTGCTAGGAGATGGCATTTAATCTAGAATTTTAGGCAATAAATAAAAATGAAGTTATAAGAATAAATGTTGTTTAGGGCAGAAACCAACCTGCAGCAAGTGGCTGTTTATGAGAGGGAGCAAAGCCGCTGTGGTTGCACAAGAGCAGGATGCTGCCCAACATCATGCCAGAGGTGAATGGGAAGGTTATCAACTTGACCATGGGAACAAAACCCCCTCCAGTGAAAGACATTGTGGACAAAACTCTTTTGCAGTTGCAGTTGCTGGGAGATGTGCCACTAAGGTAAATAAGGGCTGTACATCAACCTGCAAACCTCACCTTTGCCTGGGTTGGAAGCTCAACCAGAACCTATAATGTTGTGAAACTCAGCTTGCTGCCTCTGGTTGTAAAAATTACAGGAAAACTCAGCAAAGGAAATCCCAAACCCCCCAGAATCTGCTGGTTTCTTTCCCCACTGAAAGCCCTACTTTCTTTCTTAATAGAATTAAAAATGATGAATCCTGGGTTTAAGGGCAGAATGTCTTGTGAAACCCAATGGGTTTCAATAGCAAGGGCAGTAGGGATTGAGCTTGGCTGCTCCTTACAGCAGCCCAGCTCTTGGTGGGATTTCCCTGAGAAGAATTTTAGTCCTGCTGAAATCAAGGACAAAATTCCAAAACATCTCAGAAGGGCATTGTCTTCCACACATACCCAAGCAAAGGTTTGCCTGTAACCTGGTCCAGCACATAGTAATCACCTGCATCTTTTGAGGATGCAACTCTCTTCTGGTTCATATAGAAAGTAACTATAAGGTAGGTCTTAGATGCAGTGTTTGCTGCAGCACTGCCTCTGAGTGATTTCCATCTCAGACACCCCCTTGACCAAGGCTGGAAAGCATTTTATCGCTATTTGGTCACAGTGATTATGTCCATTAGTGGCACCAAACCATAGAGGTGCCAAGGACAAGATGGAAATTCCTAACTTGGATATTACCTGAAATCCTGAACACTAAAGCACTGCTTGCTTAGACTTGCTTAGGACAGTGCTTGTCAGACTGATTAATAATTTTCTCTGGGCTGCAGCCAAAGATCAGAGTCCATGCTGACACCTGCAATCTGCCAGAAGGCTTTGATATTGCCAGCAGAGTTATGGTCAAGCCTAAATAAGCACTGGTTGAAGGGATACACACTCCTCACTCTGAAGATCCAGAGGACCATCTTCTCTGCTTGTCTTCCAAAGCATAACTGCTGGTTGCAAGCATTGCTGGGTGCTGCAATGGCCTCTGCAGACCTATAGGTGCTGGCAGGAAGGCAGTAACAGATGTGCTGTTACATCAATGCTCCTGGCGGCACCAGCACCAGCTCTTCACGCAATCCAGACACCACAGATGGTACCACTATGTCTGGATGTGCACATTTGTCAGAGGAAGGACTGGACAAGGACTGTTTGGCTGTTGTTCAGTCTCTCTGACTGATCCCACCACTGGATGGGGGAGTATCAGCCAGGGAGGGTTGGCTGGGATTTTGTCATTACGAGTGGTTAAGAGCCCAGCCACCACAGGCACTGCTTGCATCTCTCTTACTTTATCATTTCTAGGTGACCCTGCTTGAGCAGGAGGGTTGGACCAGATGTCCCCCAGAGCAGCCTTCCAACCTCACCCATTCTGTGATACGCTGATTTTTATGCCAGCAGTGATTCCTGAATTTATGGAGCTGAATGTAAAGCCTGGAGAGACCTCACCTTCAGGAACCTGCTCCTTCCCCCGCTGTGAGAAGCCCACCCCTGCTGCACAGCTTTGCAGTTCCACGGGCATCCTCAGGAGGGACCTGGAGGCTGCTCTGAGGGAGGATGGTAATGGTGATGCACACCTAGTGCAGGAAGGCTTGGGCCCTTGCAGCAGCGTGGTGATGCCCTTGGGTCACAACAGCCCCATGCAATGCTCCAGGCTTGGGGAAGAGTGGCTGGAAAGCTGCTGGGCAGAAAAGGACCTGGGGGTGCTGACTGGTGGCCATTGCACATGAGCAGCTTGTGCCCCGGCAGCCAAGGCCAATGGCATCCTGGCCTGTACCAGCAATAGTGTGGCAGTATCAGGGCAGTGATCATCCCCCTGTTCCCAGCACTGGTGAGGCTGCACCTCAAGTCCTGTGTTCAGTTCTGAGCCCCTCACTACAGGAAAGACATAGAGGTGCTGGAGCAGGGCCAGAGAAGGGCAACGGAGCTGGTGAAGGGCTGGAGCACAAGTGTGATGGGGAATGGCTGAGGGACCTGGGAGGGTTTAGTCTGGAGAAGAGAAGGCTCAGGGGGACCTTATCGCTCTCTGCAACTGCCTGAAAGGAGGACAGAGTGAGGTGGGGGTTGGTCTCCCAGATAACAAGCAATAGGACAAGAGGAAATGGCCTCAAGTTGCACCAGGGGAGGATTAGATTGAGTATTAGGAAACATTTCTCCACCAAAGCGGTTATCAAGCATTGGAACAGGCTGCCCAGGGCAGGGATGGAGTCACCATCCCTGGAGGTATTTAAAAGACATGTAGATGTGGCACTTAGGGACATGGTTTAGTGGTGAACTTGGCAGGGCTGGGTTTGCAGTTGGATTCAATGATCCTAAAGGTCTGATTCAATGATCCTAAAGGTCTTTTCCAACCTAAATGATTCTATGGCTCTATTATGGCATGGCTGCTCTGGGCTGCAGCGTGCTGTTCTCCCAGAATGACTGGAGCTGCCTTTACTTCTGCTGGCAGCAAGCACAGATTTATCAGCGGGCAACGGAGGCAGTAACCTCATCCCTGCTGTGTCAGGTGGGAAGGGCCAGCTGCCCACACTGTCCATCTGTCCACATCGTGGCTGAGCCTGGGGCTCCCTTCAGCCCAACGTGGGGTTTGAATGAAGATCAGAAAGAAAGAGAAATGTAAAAGAGGCTTGTGGGAACTGCATGATTTTTTCAGTGTGAAAGCGTGAGCTCACAGGCTTCCAAGGGCCACCGAGAGGGCTTGGACTGCGTGAAGATGATCATAAATCAGGAGGCAGGAGCACGGAGTATCCTCACTCTTCAGTTTGTAATAATTTGCAATGACTACAAGCAGGCAAAGTGTGCCAAAGCCAATCATATCCTGGTTTGTGTTAGAAGCATGGCCAGGAGGTGATGCAGGAGGTGATGCTCCCCCTTTACTCTGCTCCCAGGAGGTCCTATGAGTACTGAGTTCTGCTCTGGGGCCCCCAACACAAGAAGGATGTGGACCTGTTGGAGTGAGTCCAGAGGAAGCCACAAAGATGCGCAGAGAGCTGGAACACCTCTGCTATGAAGAGAGGCTGAGAGAGATGGGGTTGTTCAGCCTTTCAGTACTTCAAGGATATGGAAGACAGAGAGACATTTTACCAGGGTCTGCAGTGACCGAACAAGGGCCAATGGTTTTAAAATAAAAGAGGATAGATTTAGATTAGATATAAGAAAGAAATATTTTTATGATGAGGGTGGTGAGCCACTGGCACAGGTTGCCCAGAGAAGCTGTGGCTGCCCCACCCCTGGCAGTGTTCAAAGCCAGGCTGGATGGGGCCCAGAGCTTGTGAGCAATGTGATCTAGTCCAAGATGTCTCTGCCTGTGGACTGGATGATTTTTGAAGGATCCCTCCAACCCACACTTTTCTGTGGTTCTATGATTTGACTTTTCAGCCCTATGTTCTGATTTGGGGGCACTTTCCAAATCTTTAAACAGCAGCACAACTCCTAAGAGGTCTGGGAAGAAACTCCTGATCCTTTGCTGATATCTAGAGCTTAGAAGTACCCTCCAAATCCAGGTACTGGTACCTAGGCCAGCCAGTGAACCAGCAGTTGCAGGGCATTTCTGAGGGAGCGCACGGTTGAGCAGCAGCTTTCAGACATTAACAGTGATGTTTATCTGCCTTCAGAGAAGCTCACTTCCCTCGTGCATGGACTGTGTGCAAGTCAGGCCTGCTTATCTCTTGATGCAATTGATATGCAAGGCTGCTGCAGTTTGGTGGTTAATAAAGCCAGAGTAAATGCTGCTATGAGTATCAGTTGAAGAAGGAAGTGAAACCAAAGGGCACTGCCAGGGGTCCGATGCCAGCACTCTGCTGTATGAATTATAAAAGGGGGATAGAGTCTGTATTTCTCTGTATGGTATGAGATACATCCTGCTGTAACCTCAACTGTACCTCAAGATGCAGGTCTAGGGGAGAGGAGAAGAGGCCGCTCTGCTTTTCACACGTGGAAAACAAGGCAGGGGAAACCAGGGCAAAATATTTCCAAGGTCCACACATGGATATCCGCTCACGGGTATCCCAAACGCCACCTTTTCCACTGGTTTAAAGCCACAGAAGCAAGGTGGGCACACTCTGAAGGGACTGAGGTCATGCCAATGAACAGAAGTGCTCCCTCTCCGCAGCAGCATGGCTCACATAATCTGGGGAGAGTGGAGAGCAGAGATGAGCTGAGCACTGCCAAGCCCATCCCAGGCCAGGGATTCTCCACTTCCCTGGCTGAGTTTAAGGATTCTTCTCATTTCCTCAGCAGCTGCCTTGGGTTTACACTCACCACCTACCTATGGAAATGGGAACGGGTACTCACACCCACCTACTCCATGCAGCAGAGCGGGCTGTGTGGAGAAGATGGATTACTTTCATCTTCGTGATTGTGTTTTACCTTTTGATGCCCTGGATGTTTATTCCTTTATCGTGTATTAATTATTGGCATTCTCTAGGCTTCCTTCTGTCTTAATCTGATTTAAAACAGA